CAAGAGTTGGACATTTAACCAACTGAGCCACCCAGGTGCCCCTGTAACTCACTGTTATCCAGAGTAATGAGGAAGATCCTTTGGATCATGTGATTGATGTTGAGTTGCTCACATATTTCCTGCTGTGAACGGAATGAGCGGCTAATCTCAGCCACAGAGTAATCAAATTCATCCAGGCTTTCTGACACACTATTATCCGAGTCATCTGGGGTAGCTGGGAGTTCATCTGCCAGAAAATGTAAGCCATTAACAGTTAAACTCCTCTCTGTAGGAGGGAACCAAGTATCCTATCAAAAATGATAAAAGTAACCAAGAGGAAGACAATTTCGGATGTGAAACAAGTTAATCATCTAATTAGTAAACATCTCAAGTCAGGCACCATCTTTTTTAAAAACTTGAGATAGAAATGACATGCAACATTATATTAGTTTCAGGCACACAACATAATGATTTGATGTATGTATATATCGCTAAATGATCACCACAGTAAGTCTAGTTAACATCTGTCACCATATAATTAAAAAAAACTATTTTCTCTTGTGTCAAGAATCTTTAAGATGTACTCTCTTAGTAACTTGCAAATATGCAATACAGTATTAGGAGCCACAGTCACCATGCTGTTCATTACACCCCCAGGACTTATTTCTAACTGATGTTTGTACCTTTTGATCCCCTGTACCCACCGTGGGCAACCACCAATCTGTTTATCTGAGAGCTTTCTCTCCTTTTTTTAGATTTCACATATAACTGAGAACATCTGTTTGTTTGTATTTGTCTTTTACCGTCTGACTTATTTCACTTTACACAATGCCCTCAAGGTTTGTCCATGTTGTTGCAAGTGGCAACAAACGTGTGTGTGTGTGTGTATGTGTGTATCATATCTTCTTTATCCACACATTCATCAATGGACACAGGATATTTCCATGTCTTGGCCATTGTAAGCAATGCTGCAATGAACATGGGGGTGCATGTATCTTTTTAAGTTAGTGTTTTCATTTCCTTTGGAGAAATCTCCAGAAGTGGAGTTGCTGGATCATATGGTAGTTCTATTTTTAATTTTTTGAGGAACCTCTGTACTGTTTTTCCATAGTGGCTGCACCAATTTACATTCCCACCGACAGCGCACAAGGGTTCCCTGTCCTCCACATCCTCACCAACTTGTTATTTTTTGTTTTTTGATTACAGCCACTTTAACAGGTGTGAAGTGATACCTCCCTGTGGTTTTGATTTGCATTTCTTTGACGATGAGTAATGCTGAGCACCTTTTCATGTACTTGTTGGTCATCTGCATGTCTTCCTTGGGAAAATGTCTGTACAGACCTTCTGCCCATTTTTTAATTGGATTATTTGTGTGTTTTTAGCTACTGAGCTGCATCAGGCAACGTCTTAAGTATAGGATTCTGAAATCCCTGGCTGAAATCCTACCACATTTTACACATCAAAAGTTTTATTCTTTCTATTCATTAATTGATTGCACTCCCTATTAGGAAAAATGGCAACTATGTTCCCTACAGAATCCTAGCGAACGAAGATTTACCTAATAGATCAACATGCCTTTAATTATTTCAAAGACACGCTTTTTCCTGATTTTAAGAGAACACATATGTTTTAATAATCTATTAATAGCAAAGCATTCCAGATATTTTTTTCTATTCTGAGATGCTAATGTTTATTGCTAGGATTTTCAGTTACAAAAGAGGAAGGGGTATCATACTATATACACTGCTTTTCAGCTTGCTTTTTAAACTTAATCAGCACCAACACCTTTCTCTGTTAGGTCATTTATAGGCCTACCTCATTCTTTGCAATAGCTCACTGTATTGCATTGTATGCACACACTCTGATTTGTGTAGCTACTTCTCAAGTGATGAACATTTGGGCTGTTTCCAACTTTTCATGATTTCAAACACTACTGCACCGAATAGTACTCTTTTTGTACACCTGAGTATTTCTGTAAGGTAAATTTGTAGAAGCAGAATTGCTGAGTTAAAGAGCTTGCACATTTAAAAGTTAACATATACTACCAAATTATTCTCAGAAAGGTTGCTCTCATTTACAAGCCCATCACAAATTTCAGGGGCGCCTGGGTGGCTCAGTCAGCTGAGGGTCCGACTTTGGCTCAGGTCATGATCTCATGATCTCATGGTTCATGAGTTTAAGCCCTGCATTGGGCTCACTGCTGTCAGCAAACAGCCTGCCTCAGATCCTCTGTCTCCCCACCCTTCGCCCCTCCACTGCTTTCTCTGAAAAATAAACATTAAAACAAAAAACAAAAAACAAAAAACTTCACAAATTTCATAGGTAAAAACCTAAATATTATTTTTTTTAAGTTTACTCATTTTGAAGAGAGAGAGTGAGAGAGAGAGAGCAAGCAGAAGGGCAGAGAGAGAGGAAGACAGAGAATCTCAAGGAGGCTCTGTGCTGTCAGTGCAGAGCCCGACATGGGGCT